CAAGAGATGAATTGCATTGGGAAAGTCAGCTGTCGGGGACCTCTTCAGAGTACTGAAGAGCAATGGTGTCAGGTTGGAAACGAAGGCGTGCCTGATCCGGGCTATAGACTTCACAACTGTGTGCTGTTTCAGAGAGCTGGACAGTGGGTAGGGATGATAGAAAGAGAATTGATACCTTTGAGCTGTGGTGCTGGACGAGTGTTGACTATACCATGGACTGTTAGGAGAACAAACAGGTTTGTCCTGGAGAGGGTGAAACTGGCCTGCTCCTTGGAGGCAAGGATTCTGAAGCTTCGTCTGACATACTTTGGGCAAGTTGCAAGGAGGGACCAGTCATTGGAGAAGGACATTATGCTTGGGAGGGTGGAGGGACAGCGCAGGAGAGGAAGACCCTCGATGAGATAGATCGATTCAGTGATTGGGGTAATGGGAAAAGGTGTGTCAGAGACAGTGAGGTTGGCACAGGATAGAGGAGGTTGTAGGGCTCTTGTACACAGGGTCGCTGTGAGTCGCAAGCGACTCAACAGCACGTAACAACAGTAACAAGGTGCACCTGCGTCAAGTCATGGGGTTTTATTTTTATTACTTTTTATGGATCTGGAAGTTGGACAGTGACTAAGGCTGACAGAAGAATTGATCCATGCCTTTGAGTTGTGGAGTTGGAGAAGAGTACAGAATATCTCATGGACAGCCAAACGGACAAGCCTGTCTTGGAGGAAATGTGACCAGGGTGCTCTAGGAAGCAAGAATGGTGGCGCTTCATCTCACATGCTTGGTGCATGTTAGGAAGGGCTAATCCTTGCAGAACAGCATGCTTGGAAAGATGGAGGGTCACCGTAGGAGAGGGAGATGGGCAATCTCCTCCATGCAATTTACAGCCTCTGAAAACTCGCTGAAGGGTCAGCTATGAGTTGGTTCCAACTTGATGGCATACAACACCGCGAACAACAACTTCTCAGTTCAACTAATGACCTCTCCTAGAATATTTTAAAATGCAAGAAGTCTTTATCTTAGCCTAGCAGAAGCAAGTGGCAATCTTCCTTATCAACACTGAAGCCTCTGGATGTTGTTTGCTGTTTGCCCAGCAATTTATAGCTGACATCTTCCTTTTGGTGCACGGAGGGTGACAAGTTATCTTGGGACCTTGACAAGGCTGGGTCACAATCACCAGGCTCAAATGCCCAGACGGCAGACAAACTTGTCATCTCATACTCTACTATCCTGTCCCTCCTCTAAGCAAAATTCCAAAGTCTCCAAGATAGGAAGGCTTTGGGAAGATCATACCCTCGTCTCCTGAAATACTTTCTTTTTTTTTTTTTTTGCTGTTCAATAGATTCTCAAATCTATTTATTTTCCTCTTCCCAACAACCTCCTTATCTCAGGATCCCACTTCTCAACTCTTGGTCACATTCTACAATACAAGGTCCATCAAAGCTGACCTAAAGCAGGCCCTGGGTCTCCCTGATCCAAGCTGCTCTCACTCCAGGTGATCCTGCTGCTTTCCACTCCACACCTGATCCCTTAGAAAGGCAGGAACCTGTGAAACGCCTTGACAAACAACCAGATGCTTAAAACTTTGCAGGTTGTCTTTGGAAGGGACTGAATGGAGCGACGAGGCACTAAAAGGAAGCGGGAAACAGTACAAGCAGGTTCATGAAAGAGTTTGTAGCTCTGGGAAGGGCTCTTAGGCCTCACCTGAGGACCCCTGATTGAGAGCTGCCTCTAGGACCCTTGGGGCCTCCTTCTCCTCCAGGGAACAAATCCTGTGCAGAATTCCCTGGTTCTCCCTCCATAAATATCCCCAACCCTCTCTGACCTCCTGGGGGCTGCCCCACAGGCCTGCCTGGTCCTGTCTCCCTGGCCAAGGAGTACCTACCCTTCCCCATACCACCATCCCTCACCTGGGCTTCACTCTGCCGGGAGCTAATGTGGCGGGTGATTCCTGGGAGTGGCATCTCTTCTGGCTGCCTATTATCCGACCTTTTCCTGAAATACTTTCAAACTCACTTTCTTTGAATCGGAACTGACTCATGGCTGACCCTCCCGCAGGTTTTCAGAGGCTGTAAATCTCACAGGAGACTGCCCATCGTTCTCCTGCAGAGCAGCTGGGTGGGTGGGAACCTCCCACGAGGCGGGCCTTTGGGTTGGCAGCACAACTCCTTACAGTTTATGCCATCAGAATCCCCTACTTTATGTCATGTGCCCTCAAGTCAAGTACAATAGTGACCCTGTGAACAAGAGACCGGAACCCTGCCGTCTTGTACCATCCTGATCATCTCTGACACACTCAAGCCTGTTGCTGCAGTAACTCTGTCAATCATCTCTTTGGGGTCGTCTTCTTTTTACTGACCCTCTACCTCTTCAAGCATGCTATCCCTTTCCAGGGAGTAGTCCTTCTAATAACACGTCCAAAGTATGTGAGATAAACTTTCACTACCCTTGACTCCCAGGAGCACTTTCTCCAAGACTGAACTGTTTGTTCTTTTGAAGTCCGTAGGATATTCAGTTCTCGTCTCCAACCACAACTCAAAGGCATCAATTCTTCTGTTTTCCTCATTCATACCAAGTGGATGGAAAGGCCATGGCCTAAGTCAGACGCACCTTTGTCTTTAAACAGACATAATTGCTCCTCAGTAATTTGGAGAAGTCTCTGACAACAGATTTTCCCAGTGCAACACATCTCCTGATCTCCTGACTGCTGGTACCAAGGGTGCTGATTGTGGACCAATTTCAACATTTTCTCAACCATCTATCCTGATGTTGCCTCTCAGCCCAATGGTGAGGTTTTTGATCCTGAGGTTGAGATGGGATCGATGCTGAACGCTGTGGGAGGTGGTCAGGACGACCAGGAAGCACTTATCGATCCTTATTGAAGGCTGTAGTCTTTAATCTTCTGCATCAAGTGTTTCAAGTCCTCCTCGCTTTCAGGAAGCAACATTGTGTCATCTGCATAACAAAGGTCCCTTAGGAATCTTTCTCCTCTCCTGATGCCCCATTCTTCTTCATGGAGTCCAGCTTCTTGAGTGCTTTTCTCAACAAACAGAGTGAGGAGGTATGGAGACAGGATACACACCTTGACACACACATTTCTTCAAATATACAACAGCTAACACCAAAGAGGAGGAAAGTGATGATTTCCACCAACTTTTGCCATCTGAAATTGACCAGTCATGTGATCAAGATGCTTTTATAATAATTGACGACTGATGTCAAAGTTCTGCTCTTTTCTATAAAAATCTTGACTGTCAGATACTGTTCTAAATCTGAGTGTTCAGATTAAGACAGACCAGGAAAAAGGATTGGCCATCCCCTTCCGAAATAGCAGGCCTTCGAAAACCCATAGAACACACTTAGACTAGCAGATAGGACAACTGAGGTGGAGAAGATTGGAACAGAATAGAGCAGGGTTTAGGGCTGTTGTACATAAGGTCACTATGAGTCACAGGCAACTCAACGGCACGTAACAACGACAACAAATATCAAAGCTGGAAACAATGAAGATGGAATGGTCGTTGGAAAGTATGGATTTGGTCACAGAAATGAGGCTGGAGATCAAAAGTTTAAATTTTGTACAATGATTTATATGTAGCAATCACATCTTTTTAGAAAAACACAAATAGCGAGCATACACTTGATCCTTACTTGATGGACTGCACAGGAATCAGACTGACTGCATCTGTGGAAAGAATCACTGGAGACGTTCAGTACCAGCAGTGAAGATGAGGTCAGGTGCTGACAGTGGAAGAGACCATCTATTACTCATGTGCAAGGTCAAAATGAAGAGGAAGAAAATGAAAACAAGTCCACACCAACCAAAATATGACCCTGAATTTATCCCACCTGAATATAAAAACCATCTCAAAGTTACTTTGGAAAAAAAAAATAATAGGTTTGAAGCACTCAACCCCAATGATTGAAGATCAGATGCATTATGGGATGACATCAAGGACATCATCCATGAAGAGAGCAAAAGGTCATTACATATGCAGAGGAGAAAGAAAAGACCAACATGGATGTAAGAGGAGGCTGTCCTAATATACTAGTAATACAATTTCTCCTTTTTCCACTCCAAGGTTGGTTTTTTGGGTGGCAGGTGGCAGGATGTGTTTCCCTGGAAACAGTGGGTCCTAGAGTGGCTGTGGAGGGGGCCATCTGTCCCAGACCCTTTGCACAGTAATTAGCTTCTACAGAGAGTGCCCTCTGTGACCAATCAACACCTCAAGGGCCTGGGGACACTGGCCATACTGACTGGAAAACCATTCAGGCCTTGGCTGGAGCAGTGAGGGAGGGCCCAAGGCAGGTCCCAGGACACCACATGACAAACACAGGAGCAAAAAATCACATGTGCTCTGTTCATTATCACAATATCCACCACAGTGGCTGCTGGGAACCAGCTACAGAGCCCTGAGAGTCACCCACGGACAGTCCTCTGAGGAAGACTGTGAACAGACTCCTGTGCTCACGTCCGTGTGTGTCCTGAGAGGTGGGCGTCTGGAATAACCACAAGAAAGGATACAGTGGATGGTTCCCTGTATTTTATAGGAGATCTTAAGTGGCTATGACTTTTACAAAACACCAAAGCTATTACTTTTTCAAATTTGAAATAAGCGACAAAATATCTTTAAATAGACTTGAAGGCGTTTGGTCCATCTTGGTTTCCTCTGCGACAATAGCAGAGACACTGTCACCGAGATCAGACACCACTTCTCAGATGCCATGTCCTCCCCAGTTCCTTCCTGGCCTGCTTGACCGAGAACTTGGGCCCTGGAAGGACATGGTGCAGGACGTGCTTCCCGGCCATCCCAGAGGCCTTGACCCAGTGTGCTCACAGGCTTCCAGAAGGTGCTCTCGGACCCCTTGGACAAAGAGGGCGAGCAGGAAGGAGCTGTCCCCACCCCCCTGATGCGTGCAGTCCTCCCCTTCAGCCGTTATGCCAAGTGAGTCTGCAGCTTTGAGAATCGGCATCACAGTGACTGGCACCTTCGCGAGACTCCTCAACGCTAAGCCTTCAACAGGGCCACCTTGGCTTCTGGAACTGTGTCTTCGCTGGTGTTGTAGGGCTGGGGCCCTGGTTCCTGCCTTAGGTACTGCTCTGAGGGGACACAGGAGACATTCACGCATGAGAAGCAGCATGGACAGACCAGCACGGGGGACATGGGCACTTCAGGATCCCCATGCAGGGAGGGCAGAGGTAACCCCAGCTCTTTGCAGGGGATCATCACTGTCCCTGTGATACCAGTGCCCCCTTCTCAGCCCCACATGATGCTCCACGGTCCCCTCCAAGGGCCCACCCATCTTCCCACTGCCCACCAACACCACAGGCCATGAGCTCATGCATCAGGCTGAGCCGAAGGAGCTGGAAACAGAAAGGACTTTTACGATTCCAATTCTATGAGTTTCTAGAATGGAACAAACTACCTCATGGTGGTGGACATGTGAGCAGGGGTTACTCGGAGGCAAGAGGGGACCTTCTGGGGAGAACATGTCCCGCCTGCTGGCTGTCTGCTCTCACAGCCCTCCCTCCCCCTCACCGAAGGGGTGACTAGCACTGGGCTGGGTGTGGCAGGACACACAGGGCCCATGATTCAGTCAGACCCAGTGGCTCGTGTCCGTCCTCACACACGGAGCCTAGCTCCAACCACAGGTGACCATGTAGCTCAGAACCCTGCCCGGCCCCCCTGCTCAGCTTCGGGTGTGGCCCGCTCCCCATTCCACCGGCACCAACCTGCTTCTTCAAGAGTGGAGAAGTAACGGAGGCCCTTCAGGTCCGCAGAGCGCAGGACACGCAGCACAGGAGCCTGGTGGGTGACATCGTGAATTCCAGGGCAGCGGCCATGCCACTGACACATGGCCTCCTAACTCCACCACTGAGCCCACGTGCAGGGGGCCCCTGCATCACACTGCGCCTCAGTGAGTCCTGGTAAGGGGCCCTCTGTCCTTCTGTCTCTGTGCCCAGGTCATGCTGATCCCACCAGCCCCACACTGCCCTTGAAAAGTCGGAGTGTCCCGTGTCACTGCTGCTCTGTGGCCCCTTGTTCCAACCGCCTTTGAGGTTTTAGACCACACCCACAATGCTGAAGCTACATGCACAAAGTTGAGGCCACGCCTCACACAGTCTCTGCCCCCAAACTCTGTCCTGACCAGGCCCACAATGTCCTGTCCACACCCTGATGCTCAGCGCCTACCCCAACGTTGAGTCTTCTCTCAATCCTTCAGGATTAATAAGTCTGTGATCTACCTGTCCCCCCATCCACATCCTTCCCCTTCAGAGGTCCGCTGCACTTTCTTGTATTTGTGACTGTACGACCCTCCCCACAGTCCAGAGTGGGGTGAAGGGCAGCAGTGACTGCCTGGGCTAGGATGCCCTCTACCCCCTCCCTACTCTGCAGGTGCGGGCAGCCCACCCAGGGACGGTGGGTCACCAGGATGGCCTGAGCGCAGTGGACCCACACCCCTCCCTCCCAGCCAGAGACACACACACACACACACACACACACACCCCGTCCCTGCGCCCCTACCTGCAGGCCGATGAAGGCCAGGTCCACGCCCCGCTGCCGGAAGTCCTCCAGCAGCTCACCCAGTCCCAGCACCACTGTGTAGTCCACGCTGCAGACATGCGTGCAGTCCAGGATGGCACTGCGTGGGAGCGACACTGTGGGGACAGCCCAAGAGTCAGCACGAGGGAGGTGGCAAGGTGACAGCACTGGGGACAGTCACTCACACCAGTGACAGGCCTCGGCCCTCCTGGGACCCCAGCACATCCCCTTAGGGACAAAGCAGGGCTACACTGATTTGCCACCCTGGGTGCAGACCCTGACAGGGTGGCTGTTGGGAGTGTCACCAGAGACACCTCAAAACCCTTCAGGCCAGAGTCAGGGCCTCATTGGCCAGCGTCAGCCAGTGCCGGCCAGCGAGAGCCCTGGCTGAGCTGTGGATGAAGCACCTCAGAGCTAACCCACCAACTTCTCCAGAGGAGAAAACGCAGCGGTCAGCTTCTAGAACAATTCCCATCCTCAGAACCTGCCTACGAGGTCACCACATGATGGGGCTCCCAGCCAGCGAGAGCCAGGCCATGGAGAACAGATGGACACAGAGCCCCACCACCCTGCTCCTCATACCTTCCAGAGCCCGGCTGAGCAGGGCCGCCCGCAAGGTCTCCACCGCCGGGAAGTGCAGGCCACTGGCCGGCTGCAGGACAAGCACCTGCCCCTCAGACACCTGGGGGTGGCAGGTGTAGGGGTCAGAGTGAGTCCAGGGAGGACCTGTCTGCAGGTCTGTCTGCTCACACAGCCTCCCCTGAACCAGCACCCCGAGGACAAGGAGCAGACAGCTGGCCAGGGCACAGCAGGACAGCAATGAGGGTTTGGCAAACCAGTGACCGTGGGTGCCGACGGTGCATGCCCTAGTCTGCCTCATCCCTGCCCCAGCGGCCTGGGTGACGGCC